GTTGTATGTCATAGCATACCTCGATGTACACAATTTGTTGCAATATGTATGGGTAGCAACACAATCGAATTTGGAAGCTGCTATATCCTCGGTTTATGACATCATGTATACAGGAGCCTGGCTTCTATTAGCCAGGGTGGCTTTGTGCTAACATGGGTTTGACTGTAATTGCGTGTTCCATCATACACACCTAACATCATGCTGTATCTGAGATTGCCTAATGGCGTCGAGGTGACCACTGCCTGAAAGTATTTCTCCCTTGCTCGCGGCTGGTGACTTGTTTGGCCTGCTCGTGACTGTGGGTGTTGCACTGTAAACCCAGGAGGACGACATGCTCCATAAATAACATGTAGTTTAACTACAAACAAAACAATTGAACTATTGCTGAATTTTTGGTTTTTTTATTTTTTTGTTAGGTTGTTATCATTTGCACGAACAGAATTGACCCAGCATTTGTATGTGTGTATACGTATATATATATATACAGTACATGTATGTACATCATGTATATATAGCATAATTATGTATCTTTTACACTAGAGTTTTCTAAATGAATTTCCGTATTTTGGTATTTAGAGTCATAGTTTATCTATATTTATTTTCAGTGTCCCTTGCTTCTTCGTATTTGGAATGGAAAGCTCAATGAGGTAAAATGTCAAGGAAGGAAAGCATGGGCTCAAGGAATAGAAGAGGTACGATTCTGGCTGACTGCAGTTGAGTCTTTAAAGAGGAAGGGAAACTACTGTGGTATGAAGAGCAGTGTTTCACCTGACGTCCTGTCAGATCCCTTCAGCATCTGCAGAAGGCTTTTGCTGTGGAATCCACTGGCTCTCAGTAGCACAGCTCGTTGTGTCGCGACAGTAGTGCCGCCAAGCACACCAGCTAGCGACAACCTGCAAATGCAAGAAGACGTACACGGTACAGGCAATGTACTGATGAGAGCCATGCAATGCCCTTAAAGTGATTACGTCTACCGAATTTCTAGCATCCATCATAGTAGTATATTTGTGTGTCATTTGTACAAATTAAAAGGTTATGAAACAATACAATTAGTGGTTTCTGTTACTTTTTCATGCTTATATACCTTCTTTATTCATGCCCTTATTTGCCGCGTGAAAAAATAGGAGAGGACGCAGTATCTAAACAGTATGGTCGGAGCCATAGTGTCTAGGACAAACAGAAATTCCCAAATCTTTACCTCCGTGTCTCTTTAGATTTCTTGCCAAAATTTAACCAACGCTAAACATTTTTATCTGGTGATTGAGTTTGAGGATATACTTTAGTCAACGTTAGGTTTCTTACGACTTTAATGTAAAAAAATGTCAATTTTTTTTTACAAATTTTACATAGGAAGATCGTGACCGTAGTCAATTTAACCCATCATCAACAACACTGACATCGAATGTATGTGACAGACTATGGTGGCACTGGCAGTGCTGCTCACTGTCTCGGGTACTACCGAGGCCACCCAAACCTTTTCCAGCAGTTTTCCAGGTCTTAATCATATCGATCTTTCCGTCGATCTATGAGCTTTTAGTTGAAACACAGTATTTGCGCCAGTATATGCTCAAATAATGCGGGTTAGAGAACAAACATGTCTTCATCAAGAAAACAAATTTCTATTGCCTTGGCAGACAAGATAGGCATGAGTCAATTCCTCAATGACTGTTTCTTCCAAAAAAAAAAAGAGCCGTTTTCCAGAATTTCATTGCGCCATTAGGCTATTTTACAGCGAATTTCTAGCCGACATTTTCAGATTATTCAATCCTATCCAATTTTCTAGGGACCCACACAAACCCAACATCAAGTGGACCAAACGTGATGCGGACATGAGCGGACGATCTTGCTGAGCTGTTATGATTTCCAGAGTGATGTGGACCGACGCCATGCGAGATTGAGCGCAGCTGACCTGACTGAGTGAGTGACTGATTACCTGTATGTGCCGGTGCTCGTCTTGGCAGCTTTCCGCACTATGCTGTTCCGTCTGGAGACTCGCTGATCTGGCACGGATCGATCGCGGGACTGGGACTACGTGCGACACACTGTGTAGTGTCACGTTTGACCGTCGATATGCGGATGCGATCGCTCTTTGCTTCCGCGTCAGTGCACTACGCTTGCTGTTGCTCCATTGTGCCGAACCTGAAAGTAAGGCAGCAACGGGGTCACGCGCGACGTCGGCCGACCGCACCACGGGCTCCGCACGCTCGTCAGCAGGACGTCAGAGGTCTGTCCTGCATTCACCCAAGCACTACAGTCAGGTACGATCCGCTTCACCCCTCCAAGTACATTTCCTACATCCCCACAATGACATGACCTTCACGCCAAAGAAGCGGAATGCGATTTTACTCATCCTCATGGTATTGCATTCACATTGCACGCACAGCTAACGTCCATACCGCTTCACCCCGGCACACTGGCATAGCCTTTCACCCTATGTCTAACACACTCTTCTCACACTCGCATTGCGCATATACTGCTTTCACCCCCCCACACCAATTGTGACATAACGAATCTTCTCCCCCCACGACCGATTTGCGCATACGCTTCACCCACACCATCGTACATATCGCGCTTCACACCCACACACCACTGACATACGTCTTCCCCCCACACCATTGGCTACCGCTATCACCCACACCTGAGTATGACGATACGCTTCCCCCACACCATGACATGCGGCTTCACACCACACCCATGACATACGCTTCCCCCACACCTATGACATACGCTTCACCACGACACCATGGCCCCACACCCTTTCTCCACACCATGACATAGCTTCACACCACACCATTGACATCGCTTCCCCCCACACCATGATCATACGTTCACCCCCACACCCATGTGACATACGCGCTTCCCCCACACCATGACAATTACGACTTCACCCCACACCCATGACATACGCCTTTCACCCCACACCATGACATACGCTTACCCAACCATGACATACGCTTTCACCCCACACCATGACTACGCCTTCACCCCAGCATGTGCATGCCTTCGCACCTAACTATAACACACCCTTCTCCACACCATGACATACGCTTCCCCCACACCATGGCATACGCTCACCCCACACCATGGCCATACGCTTCACTCCCCAGCCATGGCCATGCCCTTGTCACCCTAATAGAACACACCCTTCTCCACACCGCATGCATACGCTTCCCCCCACACCATGACATACGCTTCACCCCACACCATGGCATACGCTTCACCCCACACCATGACATACGCTTCACCCACACCATGGCACTACACCCCACACCATGGCATGCCTTTCATCCTAATATGGCACACCCTTCTCCACACATTGGCATACACTTCACCCCACACCATGGCATACGCTTCACCCCACACCATGGCATGCCTTTCATCCTCATATAACACACCCTTCTCCACACCATGGCATACACTTCATCCCACACCATGGCATGCCTTTCATCCTCATATGGCACACCCTTCACCACACCATGGCATACACTTCACCCCACACCATGGCATACACTTCACCCCACACTATGGCATGCCTTTCTCTATATGACACACCTTCTCCACACCATTGGCCATTACTCTTACCCCACCATGGTCACTTACACCCCACACCAGATGGCATGCCTTCCCTCATGCCTCATATGGACACACTCTCCTTCTCCACACCATTGGCACACTCTTCACCCCACCATGTATGGCACTTCACCCCACACCATGGCATGCCTTTCATCCTCATATGACACACCCTTCTCCACACCATGGCACACTCTTCACCCCACCATGGCACTACATCCCACACCATGCCATGCCTTTCATCCTCATATGACACACCCTTCTCCACACCATGGCACACTCTTCACCCCACCATGGCATGTCTTTCACCACACCCAACGAAGATGGTTATATGACCGGATTCCACAGGAGCTGAGATTCCATCATTGTGGAAGCCACTACCCTCAACCCCCATCTTCACGCATTGCTCCATGCCCCATCTTTGTCAGAAGGCTCCCAAGCTTCGGCCGAGTGTTCTTCTATCGTGACCTTCATCAACGCACCGTGCTACGCTCGTCATCCAGATGTGTCAACTAGATCCAGTACCTAGATGCGTCCGGCAGGCCAGAGACGCTAGTTGACACGCAAACACGCACGGAAAGTACGCGTCAGCAGCATCGGCTGCATGCTGAGACTGTATGTGTGCCTAGCAACAGACGGGTGAACCCCCTGCGGCCTCATAGTTAGTTACCTGGCAAGTTGTGCACCCATCTGGACCCTCCTCTCGGCGAGAGGCGATTGCGATCATACGATCCGGAGATTTTAGACGGGAACACAGACATCCCGGCAGACTGGTGGAGAAAGCCTGAGAGATAAACAGCGCGGATAGAAGAGGAGGCGTTGCGTGCAGTGCAGAGACATAGACCCTTTCACCACAACACTTGCAGAATGTAAATTTCGTCGCATTTTAGTTTCAAAGTGGCCAGAGGTGCCTTCATAGATCCTTGTAATCTTTGAAGTTGCGTTAGTTTGGGGCACTGGTAAAGTGCCCAGGGTAAAGTAAACGTACATTGTTTGTAACAAAAACCGAATGTCTTTTATATTCACATATGATTTCCACAACAAGTGACTGCATTCTGGTGAAAAGGTCTATAGTGGCATGAAGCCAGACTGGTGGCAGATGCCTAGCAAACAAGCTATGACACCATTGCTCGACATTGCACACTTAGCAACCTACACCCGAAGAACAACATTTACTAGAACTAAACATAACGATACCTGATGCCTACAGCCTAGTCGAGCAATAGCATACGTTTAGCAAATAATGACAATAATAATAGTTGAAAAAGAAACAACCATTACAAATAAGAAACAATTGGAAAATACATGTTACGTACGTGCACAATAAAGGAAACGAGGCATCTTAACAAAAACTAGAAACTAGAAACATCTCGATGTAAATAATAATTCACGGTAAATCAACAGTACCCATCCAAAGTTACTATGCAATCAAGAAAATAAGAGTAGCTATTAGATCCTAACATTATACAGCTATCAATTGCAGTCTGATGCACCGACCTCATACTATGCAATATCTATAGTAAGCACACTATACAATACGTATAATCATTACCCATAAACCGTGTAAAAATAATAACTGTAAAAAAAACTTTAATAACGTAACATAATAAATCAAAGAAACACTAGCGACTAACAACAAACTAAACGGTTGCAAAACAGGAATGTGTGCACAGGCAGATGTTGGTATTACTTGGGACGTGTCTGAGGGTATCACAAAGGAGCAGTAATTTGTATTCTGGCGGAAACAGGAAAGTCCCACACCTTGGTCAACAAACCTGACCAAATATCCGGCAACAAAACCTCTTAATTTCCACTATAAGTGTATAACACTACAAGTGTATACACTGAAAAATACACACAATGGTAACAATATTTGCAAATTACATTCACACCTTCGCCAATTCGTAATCAATGGATAAAGGTAATATATCTGAACTTTCTCTTCAGCTCCAAGGGTTGTCAAAATGGACTTTTCTGATACTAGATATAACAAGCATAACTGAGAGCGATTCACAAGTTCTACTTCAAGGCAGAAACAAGCAGTCTGCTTGACTGTCTCTAACAAGTAGTGCCACTTAATGATAAGGTTTACTCATTTATATTATATGGGTTACGTGTGTTAAGCCACGAGATTGAACTGAAATTACGAAATTATATGATTTTCTGTTTTTGTCATTGTTTGCTCTATAGTTCATGAGTTCTTGAAACAATCACAACACAGATATATTATACAACACAATATAACACATAGAAGCTACAACAGAGCTACAACATCAGTTGTTTTCACCATTGCTATAATTTCTTACCAAGTCTTTGGTAGTCCTTGCAGTAGCATCTATCAATGAGTTTTTCGAGGGTGTTTGAGCGCTGCAACATCGCAAATGGGTGATCCGTTCCAACCTCATCTATTACTGAAATGATGATGAGCAGATAAAGCAGCGCATCAGCACTGACAGATAACTCTGTAGTGAGCAGTGATATCCACGTTCTAAATATACAGGGTGCAAAATTAACGGGAGTCCGGAGTCAAATACTCCCTGATTTACTGTCGGACTCCCTGATTTGACGTGTCCGTGTGACTCCCTGAAAATTCTGCCATACTAACTATCGTTCCGGACTAAGTTCTACTAACTGCCAGGACTAACTGCCTATCAAGTTCATTCCGGAGCACGGCCTCGCAGAATTACTGTATTTTTTCAGCTAATGTCCAAAGGAAATTTGGCAGACGTGCAACTGCATAAATCTTACAAATAAGCACATGCGTTATTGTTAATATCTTTAATTTTGAACCTCAGACTGCGGACTCCCTCATTTTGCTGCGGACTCCCTCTTTTTGAGGGTAGGGAGTCCATTGGACTCTCTTGTTCAAAAGTTAATTTCTACCCCTGATATATATTCATAGGTTGTACCAGAAGCAGATTATACAGAGTATATATCATGTGTTTCATATAATACTACATTATATTGTATATTATCAAAGACCGTATGCAATAAGACAGGATGTTTGACCGAAATATTTGGTCAGGTGTGATACTAGCATACTGACTGTAGAGCCGAGACAAATCTGTGGTGCGTAAAGCCTGGCGCACATTGCCGAACATTTTCCCGAACAAATGTTCGTCCGAACAAATTTTTTTGTCTGGCAATGTGCGGGTGAACAATTGCAGAGCGCACATTGCCGAACATTTTGCAGCGAACAACCTCGTGGCGCCGTCTAGTAGCTGTGTTGTAAAGAGTCACGTGATCGGCGTGAATGGCGATGCCATATTGTACACAAAAATCATGTGACCACATATCGTGCTGCTATTGGTTACTACTTTACAAATGTTTCTAGAATTGTTCGACATTCAGCGCACATTGACGAACATTCGACGAACAATGTTCGAGATATCAAACATTTCCGATCTTCAGAAACATTGTTCGGCACAAATGTTCTGCGACTTTTTTCACCGCATGCACATTGCCGAACATTTCATGGAACATTGCTACGATAATGTTTTTGAGCAAAATGTTCGGCAATGTGCGCCGGGCTTAAGGAATCTGTAGCCCGTAAGATATAGTGTCGCGACATGCCATCCACAGCAAATTTGCCTCTAAGATAACATAAGCATGCGCTCAATTCCAAGGCCTTTTTAAGACCATACATAATCACAGATAATTTTGCACGACTTTCGACGGCCATATCCTACTTCGCACGACATTCCCGACAAGCATCACGCCGCTTGAACATTTCACGCATCTTCAGCCGCTCACCGGAGAGTTCGTCCTCAAAGTTGGAGCTGAGCGGGCGTTCACCGCCGCTGGCCGACGCGTCGCTCTCGTACGACGTCTGCGACATTGTGACGATGCGGCGGGGGATGACGGGCGTCGGCAACACGTACTTCTGCCGCTTCGACGACTGCTTCTGCTTCAGACCGACGCGACGCGCCGTCTTTGTGATCGTCTTTTTCGCCATTGCCCTGCGAGCAGCAAGACGTGTTTTTAACTGTGCATAACATATCATTCTAAAAGAGGTAAGGTAGTGTACTGCCACAACATTTTTAGCAAATTATCAATTTTAACCACAGGTTAGAAAATGAACTATGAATTGTAAACTGGTCTGTTACCTTTTACAGCTATCCTCTGTAATATATACATTTTAACCACTTATATCACATAGTTATACAAGTTGTAGTTAAGTATAATGTAGTTGTAGTTAAGTATATTGTAGCAATCAACATTAGGGACAGGTAATGATGAGAATAGGTTGGAATTTCATTCATCGATCACAGGTGGCACTCAACCAGTTGACGATTGATTGTGATCAAATATAACACTGATAATGAATATTAGATACATACAATACTGTTTGACTGTGTTAGCAGTCAGCAGTAACAAAATCTAATAATATTTAACTAACTTATCATAAGCCAGTTTATCATATATGCAGAGATGCCAACACTTTTCTGAGCAAACTGTAGTGCGGATGTCTGCAATCTGTAGTCCGAGGGTCACGCAGTGACCCGAGTTTGGGAAATGTCATCAAAATGATTTTTTTTCGATCGTAATAAAAATCGTAGTTGTATGCAAACTGGTCGTATTGGTCAAAATGCAAACGAAATTCGTATAAAATACGGATAAATCGTAGTGGTTGGCATCTCTGTAAATAAGTTACACGAGTGGGAGCTATGTGAGGAGTGATGTGCACACGTAGGTGAACGGACTGTGGTATATGTGACAGTACGAACACTTACTTGAGCGTAGCATTTTTCGCCATTTTTTCGCGATGCAGAGGGGTTGGGGGCTGGGCAGCAATGTTGCTAAACATCTGGTAGACAGTCTGTGGCATCGACACCCGATGTAGCATCTTGCGAAAGTGTTCTATATTCTCAGAGTCCACTTCCTCATCAAATGCAACCTTGATCAACTATAATGAGGTACAATGATTATACTAGATATATGAGTGTTTTACTAGTTTCAACAATTATTCTTTACATTATAAATACATACATATATGAAATATGAGATATTAACCATGAGAACAGAAATATTAAAATAAAATGCTGCCATGATGTGCAGCAAACATAGGAGTGAAAAATATACAATGTTTGAATGCCGGCGTTTTTAGCCCATTTCTCTGGATTGTGATTATGTATCAGAAAAATTATTAGGGGAAAAGGGTTATTTAATATTTAATGTATTATTTGAGTTCATGTTTATTAAGTTATGCTTAAAATATGTAGGTAGACCAAGGCTAGTATACCATGTTGAATTGTCCTTGTTCTTTTAGTGGAATGTCAGAAAGTGGTCAATTGACCTGACCCTAGCAAAAGCCTTATTTACTACTAATCTTAAATATACCAAAACAATTGCCTGCTGGTTCGGGCAACATGAACTTTTGTAGACCTCGAAAATCGCGGTTACTCTCAACCTATGCCCTCAGGCATCATTGATTTCCTCACTCTATAAAATTGCATGTTAGCAAGCATGCAATAATTGTATTAAGACCCACTTGATGGGTTAGACATGTAAACAGTCTAATCTTGACATGGCATAGATAGCATACTTACTCGTATATATAGCACACTTGTATTTTAAAAAACAATTGCCAAAATTCAGTGATCTGGTACGTGATATGCTGTATTTTTAAACATACCTGGAATGTATTGGATCTAAGTTGAAGCCCTTCTGCCATTGTCTGCTCTATGTGGGTCAAGTACTGACTGCCAATCTTCTTCTCCTTAGTCAGCGACACGATGGGGAAGCATCTTATCACAATCTGCTCGCAGGCTGTTCATGCAAGAATAGAGATTTACTCTTGTAAGTATTCACTACATGTAGCCACCTCATCACACCCTGCCCACCCACCATCACTCGCTACCCACATACCCTCAAACTAGACTTAAACTCACAGCCTAAGGCTCACTGCCTGCTACACACGCACGCACGCACGCACGCACGCACGCACACACACACTCTAAAAGAAACCACTGCGGACTAACCGAAAGGATCACAGGGTGTGCCCTTGAAGATAACACGGTAAGTCGTGAGGAATATGGCGCCCTCTGCTGGCAGGAGCTGTGGTCCGCCGTTAGCACCCGTTGCAACGTCACGTCCATCAGGCACAAGGAAGACACGAAGTCCGCCCATGACTATCTCTTCTCCACTAAGCAGGCTTGGTGTCAGTATCTTGGGCTGCAACAGGCACGCAAAACAACATTGCCCCAACAATTTCAAACAACAACATTTGTTGTCACACCACAAAACAAGTAGTGTAATTACTTCTCATAGGATCATAAAAAAATTGTGTTTAATCTTTTCTGATTGATGCTTGCTAAGAAAGAAATTGAACGCTGCACTATTTCACACGATGCCAGTCAGTTTCAAGTGAACGGTAGTACTCTTACCTTCTGTATAGGTGGCAATCGCTTACATTCTCTGAACACAGCTTCAAGCGTTTCAATGTGCATAGTAACAACACCTGCGAAAACAGTTTCACAGCAGTTAAAGCAACAATGTGTGAAACTTTTGAAACACGAATGAGCTCTATGAAGGTCCTCCTACTTGCTACAAAACACACACATCTGTTACAAATTTAAAGACTAACTGAATCAACTTTAATATGATCTAGTTACTGGATCATGCATCTTATTTCACCAAACTTTCAAGAAATTCCAACACACATGTACATTTTTTCATAGCGAAAAGTGGTCCAAGTTCATAGTTTTATCCATCAGGAGAGATAATATTTTGTTTTGTGTAGTACTTTAACAGGACATGCTATGTTACACACTCACAATAAACATTTTTAGTAGATGACTTCAGGTAACACGTGACTTTTTCATTTCAACATTTAAAAAATGTGAACATAATTTTCTGTCGGTTCATGTACAAAAACACAACTCGTTAATGTAAGAAATTGGGAGAAGTAACTTAGTAATGATTTAAAAATCAATATGCACATCAACTTCAACTGTATCATCATAACATGACTTTACATCAACACAGCCCCAGTCATACTTTCCTAACCACGGTTCAGACACCAAAGGCAAGACGTTTATACAGCTTTCCAGGGTTAAAAGATCCATTTTACATGAGTGAGAGATCCTAGTCAACTAGAATCCTGGTGCATAGTGTATCATCCAATAAATAATTAGGGAATGAAGTCTTGCATAAAGGAAATTTTATTGACTCTCAATGAAAATAAACAAGTGCTCAATTTTTAAGACATTTCTAAGATCAAACATGACGACAAGTATAGCCATTCTCCAGAACCTTCCAGGACCATAACCTTGTTTCCAAGATTTTCCAGAACTAACACCTTATTCAAGGACTTCCCAGACCTGGAAAAGCAACATGATAAAACTACTGGACTTCATGGTTTTTCAGGTTCCACACAAACCCTGCCTACCTGGTACCATCTGGTGGAGAGACTGGATGTGTTCGTTTGTGACGCCGGCTTCTGTGCAGACCTTGTCCACGAAGCGCGAGCAGAAGCGAATAATCTGCGCACCAACCTCAGATGTGTCCTCCTCAAAACCAGATTCCGCATCAAAGCTGTCACTCTCAGCAACGCTGAAATGCAAGCGCATGTTATCACACATGTGTCAGTTATCACCCGCTATAGCAAGCGCATGTTATCACACACGTACCTCCCTCGTACTAATATAGGCCTCCGTCACTTTGCTCAGTTCCTTATAAGGTATAATGCCTCATGCGCTCGAATATGACAGAGGTCATTTATGAAAGTTAAGGCCGGCAGGCCGAGCGGGGAGCAGCTGGCGACGCCAAACCGGGTTAGTGTGGCATTCTCTTCACACGTGTTAGACGTGTGCACGTTCAGGGTTCATACTGTCCTGGAAAAAAATGGCAGTCTGCAAAACAGGAGCCGTTCTAGAAAGTCTGATAGATCAAGCTTATTATTGTTTGGTCCTAACAGTCCTATAGAGAGTCATTGAAATGTTGAGTTCCATCTTGACTGACAGCGTTATTAAGACTTGTATCATGCAAGCGTTGCTAATTGCGACGACATACGAGATACTATGATTATATCAAGAGTGAATAATAGAGATTATTTCTAATTACCAATCTCTTGCTTGTCCGAAAAATGTGTAGTTGTGCGGCATCGCATAGTAGGCCTGGTTGAAGCAGACTTATAATGCAGATCGCTGAATGATGTCCAATGTGTTTATTGTCATGTTTATGTTTTCACGCTTGGTTCTCGATTTCAAAATTTGTTAAAATGTGATAATTATGAGCGTGAATATCCTTCAGGTAAAACAGTAATGTAGGCTATTGCTTCATTAATGCTAAAATAAAATGTAGTATTCGCTAACACGGCTGAAATCACCGGCCGGAGTGACCGGTGTTGCGCATCAGTTACTGGCCCTCCAAATAATTTGCCGGCATATTGCGGTGGCACCGGTGCTAATTTTGTGCCCTGTGGCCTTCTTGTGTGCATTAGGTGCCGCAGACCAACTACTAAACGCGGCTAGAGCTATGATTAAATGATTATCGTTTTTCGAAATGACGTGAGGATGTTGCATTTCTTGTCTGTTTCTTTGACCGTGGCATGCAGACCTATGCTGGATGCCATATCTTCAACACGATGAGCAAATTTTGTTCCATATTACGCAACGTTTCGCTCTGCTCTGCAAAAGCCATGTTTTTTTTTTTTTTTTTTTTTTTTTTTTTTTTGGGGGGCTGCGCTTCCCGCCGCCTCACAGCATCTAATAATAGAGAGTTGCTTCGATTTCAGACAAGACAGTAAAAATGCAACGCGGGTGAGTGACAACTATGGCTGTTTGTATTCGATGCTTTCCAGCAGTGTGTGTTTTCTGCTATGCCACTACCGGACGGTTTATAGGGTCTCAATCAGCGCATGATGCTAATGATCATTTCGCTGTCGCTAGTCGTCAGCGGTAATACAGTTCCACGATGGCGATTGAGCTTATAACAAGCAACAGGATGTTGCATATATGCTTTCTAGCAACCGAGTGCATGCCGGCGTTAATAGCCAATTATCGCTTCTAAATACAATCACATTTGTTGTTAACCAGCATATTGACAATAATCATGGATATAACGTAGTAACTGCTGTGTTATTTTTACATGATACATTAACACGTGAAACGAATACTTATGAAATTGCAGACTGAGTGCTGTGTTACCATATGCTCTCTAACGATGAACTACGTGTGTAAAATAATATAACAAAAAAAACGTTTTCATCAATGCCATGTAACGCAACCGCCTACCTTTAGTGTTAAATCATAGACGATGCATTCAACTGATTAACCAACAAATTAGCAATTAACACTAGAATGTGTTTTACCATCAATAGATGCATTTTTGTGTATTTGATTGCTACACTCTAGTGAGGGTTGGGGACAATGCCAACAACTTTGCTTGTTTAAACAGCCCTGTTACACGATACACAAAATAACAACTTCAAGATCTGGTCCTCGATAAACAAAAATAAACGAATTTTTTGTGTTTTTATGGACTTTGTGATCGAACAAAACAATAATTATGTCCAGAGTGGCTCAGACTCGAATGTCATTTGTTTCACATGTAATGTTAGGTTTAAAAAACAAAATTCGACATTAAAATTGCACAATTATATAATTGTTATACTGAGTGAACACTAACATGCCCTTGCTACACTGAGTGAACACTAACATGCCCTTGCTACACTGAGTGAACACCAACATGTCCTTGTTATACTGAGTGAACACTAACATGCCCTTGCTACACTGAGTGAACACCAACATGTCCTTGTTATACTGAGTGCACACTAACAATGCCCTTGTTAACGAGTGAACACTAACAGCCCTTGCTAACACTGAGGTGAACACAACATGCCCTTGCTACACTGAGTGAAGCACCAGAACATGCCCTTGTATACGAAGGAACACTAACATGCCCTTGCTACACTGAGTGAACACCAACATACACTTGTTATAGCGGGTGATAACTGACACATGTGTGATAACATGCGCTTGCTATAAGCCGGGTGATAGACCTGACGACATTGTGATAACATGCGCTTGCTATAGCGGGTGATAACTGACACGTGTGTGATAACATGCGCTGCTATAGCGGGTGATAACTGACACATGTGTGATAACATGCGCTTGCTATAGCGGGTGATAACTGACACGTGTGTGATAACATGCGCTTGCTATAGCGGGTGATAACTGAACACATTTTGATAACAGCGCTTGCTATAGCGTTGATAAGCCTGACACGCTGTGTGATAACAGCGCTGCTATAGCGGGTGATAACTGACACGTGTTGTGATAACATGCGCTTGCTAATAGCGGGGTGAATAACTGACACACAGTGTGTGAAGTATACATGTCGCTTGCTATAGCGGGTGATAAACTGACACATGTTTGATAAAGTGCTGCGTATAGCGGGTGATACACTGCGACACGTGTGTGATAACATGCGCTTGCTATCGGCGGGTGATAACGACACGTGTGTGATAACATGCGCGCTTGCTTATAAGCGGGTGATAACTGACACA